AGGACATCAGATCCATTACAGATGGTTGTGAGCCACCATGTGGTTGCTGGGAATTGAACTCAGGACCTCTGGAAGAGGAGTCAGTACTCTTAACCACTGAGCCATCTCTCTAGCCTTCAGTTTAAACATATATATTTTATGTGTCAATTTTAAAATCCAAAATTGGCCCAGAAAGATGGTTTAATAGTTAAAAATGCTTGTTCCCAAGTCTGACATGAGTTCTAGCCCCAGAACCCACACGGGAGAAAAGATTCTCATTAAGTTGTCCTCTGACCTCCACATACATGCCATGGAATATACACACATAATTAATAAATAAATAAATTAATTAGTAAACAAACAAGGAAGGAAGGAAGGAAGGAAGGAAGGAAGGAAGGAAGGAAGGAAGGAAGGAACATTTTTGAGACAGATCTCACTATGTAGCCTTGGCTGTCCTTGAATTTGCTATGTAGATCAGGCTGGTCTGGAAAACAGAGATGCTTCTGCCTCTGCCTTCCTAATGCTGGGACCAAAGGTATGTACCATGATGCCTGGGTAAATATAAAACTTTTTTTAAATACAGGATAAAATATTTAAGAAGGCCAGGCAGTGGTGGCGCACACCTTTAATCCCGGCACTTGGGAGACAGAAGCAGGAGGATTTCTGAGTTCGAGGCCAGCCTGGTCTACAGAGTGAGTTCCAGGACAGCTGGGAAGACACAGAGAAACCCTGTCTCGAAAAACCAAAAAAAAAAAAAAAAATTAAGAAGAAACAAATTAAAAATTATAGAAAATAAAACACAAGGAGAAAGAGAACTAAAAGAAAATATGAAGAGTCCATTGATTACTGGGGCCACTGAAGAACAAGGAACAGGGTCAGATGAAATATTTGAAGAAGTAATAGACAAATGAAACTTTGACGACGCAGGCATTTAATCCTATATTACAACCACAATCCTAGTATGCAAGATTATGAGCTCAGACTGAACCCTGGGCTACACAGCAAGACAGGAGGGAAGGGAGAGAAGAGGGAGATGGAGTTAAAGATGAAGGAGGGAGAGAAAGGGGAGCAGGGAACATAATGATGAGTAAACATATACAGTAAAACTCGTCAAGCTCAACACTTTAACTATGTTTAGTGTCATGTGTCAATTACAGCACAACACAGCTGTTGAAAAACAGAGGGGAAGTGTATCTAGCTCCATCTAACAAGAATTAGTTACAAGAGAAAAATACATTTACCAACTGTACATTTTGCTGTTCTGCAATGCTAGGGATGAAACCCAAGCACTACACCCCTGAACTAAACCCCAGCCCTGCTGCAAGAACATTTTAATATTATTGGAGAATCAACTTTGGAATCCAGAAACATGCGTAAAGCATGTGCATGGGAGAAAATGGTTTAATACTACAGAACATCCCCCACCTATCCCTAAGATGCTGTTTTCCCAAAACACAAACTGAAAGAATAAATACGCATCTCTGCTCAACACAATTCTTGGACTGCCTCCCAGATCTGAAATGATCCTCGGTCACAGTATAAGAGTGACATAAGAAAACTACTTTGTTGTTTTATGTTCACACCTGGTAAATGAAAGCCTTATTACATTTCCTGCTTGGACACACGGAGTTGTCAAATGTATTTGGAAACAACCCAATTTTGACACAGTATATGGCATACTGCCTTTGTACAATTTCCTTAGTGACCATTTTTTCAAGAACACAAAATTGGCTTCATTGCCTCTTATGGGATATTTACAAACTGAATGACTTAAGATGAGATGTTCATATACAAAGAAAGAATATCTGAAGTGAATAAAATGTAGTTGGATGATAAATTCAAAAAGAGGCTATCGAAAAGTATCAGCATTCTCTTTACACACATTTGAAGGAGTACACATTTTCTTTTTAATTTTAAAAAATTACTCATAACTATATACTATTATGATAGGCTTAAGGAATATTACATTTGTTATGAATTACGAAAAACTGAAACACCAAGATTTGTGTTCTTACCATCCTTAAGGACGGGAGCAGCGAGATAGCTCAGCAGGTAAAAGCACTTAGTGAGTGAGCCTTGTGACTGGAGGTCAGTCCCAACAAGCTACGTAAGCATAAAGAGAAAGCCTACTCCACAAAGGCCCCTTTGACCTCCACATATACGCCATAGCATGTGCACATATGCACATATACTCCTTAAAACTTGTGTTTACACTAAGCATGGAAATTGCAAAGCCTGAGCTTTCCCTATTTGGTCCTCTGCCTTCCTACCCCCAACCATGCCAGACCAGAAAATGACAAACTAAATTTAGCGTTTTTGTTCCTATGTGATGACAGATAATTGTGATAGATAGATAGATAGATAGATAGATAGATAGATAGATAGATAGATAGATAGATAGATAGATAGATAGATAGGGTTTGATTTTATTTGGTTTGTGCCTTACAACAATGGTTTCATCTTGTCTTTTTTTTTTAAAAGATCTATTTATTTTTATATATGTGAGTACACTGTCACTGTCTTCAGACACAGCAGAAGAGTGCATCAGATCCCGTTGCAGTTGGTTGTGAGCCACCATGTGGTTGCTGGGAATTGAACTCAGGACCTTTGGAAGAGCAGTCAGTGCTCTTAACCACTGAGCCGAATCTCCAGCCCCCTCATCTTTTGTCTTTAATGGGTTATATTTTCACTCGCCATAAGGGTCCAAAGACCAAAAATGGCAAGGTAGCCATATGCAGCTCCTTGAGTTTAGCTGATAATAGTATTTCACCGTGTAGATTTACCATCACTTATATATGCCTGCCCCATAGATCTTTTCACCTTGTAACTGCTGGATTGTGGAGATAAACATTGTAGCAAAGTCACTGCAGTATTTCCTATCCCAGCCAACAGTATGTAAAAGTTCTAGTAGTCTATATCCTTAGCAGATCCTTCAACCTAATGATTGGTCTCACGCCTGTTCCCTGGCCTTCATCCTTACCAGTTGCCCGGTTTCTAGTTCTCCTATTGTCATATACAAGTTTGATTTAGCGTCGTCCTACACAATACTCTTATGTATGTTGACTACTGATTTTCACCTCACTTTGTTTTTACTATGTCTCACAACGAATGAAACCCATTATTTACTTAAAAATAAGCAAAAAGCCCTTTACTTTTAATGTAATTTTCTTAATCCTTTATAGCATGGTTAATGAATTTTTATTGACTGCTCTTTTTGACAAGTTCAGTCAAAAGCACACACACACTACTGTCTTTCCTTTAACTACCTTTGGTTGTTACTGATGGACTAACCACTTTCTATCATTTTAATGTGCCGTGTGTGTGTGTGTGTGTGTGTGTGTGTGTGTGTGTGTGTGTGTTCAAGGAGGCCACGAGTATATTACATCCACTGGAGCTGGAGTTACAGTTGAGAGCTGCCCAATGTGGGTGCTGGGAACAAAATTCTAGTCTTCTAAAAGAGCAGCATACACTATTAACTACTGAGCCACATTGGAGCCCACAATGTGTTATTGTTGTCATTTTTAAGTGATTCTACTTGAGAAATTTACACTTACCAATTTTAAAATACTGCTATCACTAACTCAGTGTCCCAGTTAGAGAAAGTGAATAAGCCAGTAACATTAATCAGACATAACTATCTGCTGGAGCTTTTTGTTTTAAAACCATTTCCTCCCTAACTTATTTCACATTCATTCTTCACATGTATCTTCTCACTGAGAACACACTTTGAAACACTCTATGTTGTTTTTCACTTGGACTAAAAGCAGGATCACTAATAATTCCTGGAGCTTTACAGTTTACTTAAGAGAGAAGCTGGGCTCAACCAATTCTCAGTCCAAAAGTTCAAGGGAGAATCCTGATTGGCCATAGAAAAGAAGGGATTGCTTCTACTGTGTGCCTGTTGGCGTGGGCACAGTGCCAACACTGCAGAGACAGTGCTAAGTGGTGGTGACAAAGTATCTGTGAGTTAAGAGGTCAAAATAATTTAGAAATGCTAACTAAATGTCTCACATGACTGAAATTCCCTAATGTATTGTTTTTAAAGGGGAAATCCTTACCATCAGTATCTTAAACATCTTAGAGACCCTGACAAATGTGTTCACGAAGCTAGAACAGGCAGTTCTTCAGATACATTCTGCATTATGGCTGAAGTAATGCTTCCTTCCTGCAAGAAGTACCTGTGTTAGCCCCCAAATAAGCCTCAACCCCCTCTCCATGAAGAAGCGACAGATGGGGAATGAAATCCACACTTCAGACCAAGGCCTATAAATGAGATGGCACCTCACCCCAGGCCACCACCCTCACCCTAGGCACGGCCACACTGTGGTCCTGCATCCCACCAAGGTCCTCTTGCCACCTCTGCATGCAGCAACCTACCTACGGGAAATGGTCCTGCAGCTCCCTATCTATTTATAACATTTAGGCGTTGGTTAAACGTCACCTTAAGGAAGGTTTCTAGGCTAAACGATGGGATAAAGCTCCTGAAGGCCTCTCTATCTAGGCCCACAAGTCAAGAGTCCCTAAAATACTGTTCTTGTTTCTTTCACACAGAATGCTCAGCATGCCAAAGATCCCTGCAATCTACTGTCAATTTGACCAAAGCTGCTTAACAAAAGCTATTTTAATGAAGCTAAATTTAAACCTTCATCTTCATTTTCATTTTCAACCTTCATGACTTCATTTTCAGTTCCTTTCCACAACATGGCCCATGCTTTCTGTGCATAATTGAAATGCTCCCAGTTTTGAAAGTTGTTTTTTTTTTTTTAAATCCTAACTTATTTGCAAAAACCAAAATCTATGGATCCTATGCTATAGGAGAGTCTGGTAGACTCTTACTAGTGCTAGTCTTTCCATTGCAAAATAAAGGGATAAAAACTATAACTGGGTTTTAAGTCTAAGCTAAAAATATTTTCAAACAGGCATTGTAAGTAATTCACTCAATTTCTAGACAGCTACGATATTTCTATAACTCAACAATGTTTTACAAAGTAACAATGAGGGAAGGAGTAAGAACACAAGACTCCCAATAACATAAATCTTTATACTAGTAATTATGGAACACAGATGTTTTAATGAACTTCGTATTTCAATGAAGACACTGAACATTTACAAACAGTTACATCGATACAGTAAAGATAACTGATTCCACAGAACACTTATAAATGCACTTTTCCCTCAAAAAAAATTTAAAAAAAAAAACCTTTTTTCACAGATTTAAGTAACGAATGATTTACATAGTCTTCAGATTCCCAAATATGTACAAAGCTTTTTTGACTCTACAGAAATTGGTATGCTTCGGTTACAGTGGGGGCGGGGATATTCTGTCCAACAAATCTCTTGGGGAATTTTGTATTAATGCACATTTAGTAGCCACATATTTCCCCTCCATTATTAAATGAAAATCTGGACACTCCAGCACATTAATAGTGTTCCTAATCCCAAACACTATTTCTAATGTAAGATTCCTCGTGGCTGGCAGCATGACTTACCCTTAGCCACATGTACAGGCCTGCAAACATCCATGAGCTCAAGCCCATGACAATCGTAGACTCTTGAAGATAACACTGTGGTCACAGCAGCGATAGGTGAGAACAGATGACAAACAGCAGCTACTGTAAGTCACATCCTGCTCCTGAGCACTCTCTTCGAGCACCATTAGGGTCTTCTGCCCTCGTGGAAATGAGTGGGGAGCCTCACTTCTGTGTCGGAGGCTGGTCCCTCCAGTTAGCCAAAGAAAATAAGCAGCCATTGGCAGTGAAGGTCACTAGTCTGTATACAAGTCGATGATCACCAATAAAGACTTTTTAAAGCTCCAAAGTTGTGTCTGGTAGGTGTCATGTTTGATTTTGCTGTTTGTATTTGCATACATTTTTTCAATGTTCCTCACTATACCTAGACTTTCAGATTAAGATGCAAAGAACATAAGAACATGGCTTGCCACTGACATTAACAACTCTGTGAATAGAGCAGAATGGAGAGGATATGGAAACCTGTGTGGCTGTAAAGTCAAGCTGGCCACCAGGAACATCATCACACAGTACTCCACCATCAAGCAAAATACATTCAAGACAGCCAGAGCTGGCTCTAACATTTTAGTCAACTACCGTGAGCAGCCTGACTCAGCTCTCAAACACACCATGGTGAGACTCCTCATCAGAAATGGTCAGACTTTAAAAATACAACCTCTTTTTTCTTAAGTTGAAAAACACAAAATTACTCAAAGAATCTCTCTAAACAAGTCAGATACAAAGTTCCTAAGATCAGCAACTTTGGTGCCCAAGTCAAAGACGCCAATAACCAAATTCTCACTCCTGGAACGTGCCACCCAAATGTTCTATGCACATTACATATCTTACACCAAGCTTCTTACCACTTACCAGTTCAGGTGCCCTCCTATGCGGCCCAAAGAGAAAGCCAGGGGCTGGGAGAGGGGTGGGAAGGGAGGTACCACTAACAGTGTATTACCTCTTCTCTTCTCCCTAAATGGTCACTCTCCAAAGAGCAGTATGGAAAGAATTAATGTACGAGGAGCAGTAACTGAGATGTCTCTTTATCAAAACTGTAACTCTGTAAGAAACACAAACTTACAAACATCAGGTGAACAGTAATCTCTAGAAGGCGAGAACAAAAGGCTCACTCGTGCAGTAGAAGGACTGGCGCTGAGAGGTTCCAAGCTGTTCAAGACAAGCACTTCTGGTTGCCTATGAACTATCTGCCATGGCTGTCACCTTCCCAGGCTACCTAGAAAGCGTTTCACCTTCAAGGTACATAGGGTATGGTTGTTTTTCTTGCCTTCTACCTTGAATTCAATATTCCAGCTTTAAATCAAGTGCTTTATCCATGCAGCAGTGAGACTCCAAAGGTTTCCCGATATTTATTTTGAGGTAGTGCTCATTTATTTGCATTCTTGGCTCTCAAACACCACCAAGGAAACGAACCCATAGAAATATGAAAACCAAAGATGTAGAAAATAAATAATATTTTGTCTTCAGGTAGCAGGGCCTTTGTATAAAGGTCAAGTCACATTCAATGGATAAATCATTTGAAACTTCTAGAAACTGTTTATAACCACAGCTATAAATTAAAGTGCTTTGAATTCTGTTTAATGTCTAAATCAGTGATTAGAATAATCGTATTTTAAAATTTGCTTGTATGAGACCTCAAGAGATTGAAATCATTTTCTATAAAATAGCAGAAACATTTTCTTCTCAAAAGAAATTCTGCACAAATGTTGCAAATCCAGGTTACTCTTACAGAACTGGAACAGAAGTAAGAGTTGAAATGGAATTACACAACAGCACATTCTACAACTTCACATAAACCAAGTATGAAATCTCTGTCAGTCCTGCCTCTTGCTAGCCAATGCAAATGAGCTGTGCAGTCTTCCCAGGACAAGGTAGTTATACAGTTCCTCCAGACAACGTAACAGACTGTTTATGCTCACAACAGATACACAGTTCACATTTGATTCTTACACTGTAATATAATGCCCTACTGCTCATCTGTCAGGTCAACAACTCAAAGCATTCTGTATGCTACATGGGAGGTGAGCTTCACTTCTACTGACCAGAGGATGCCAATATACACAAGACAAAAATAAAAGACACAATCACACATCTCTCTGTACACTTCATGCAAGCTGGGCACAAGGTGAGAAGAACATATACAAGGCACCCTTCCCAGGGTCAAACTCTCACTATAATGGCTGATTAATATGCAGAAGAGCCTGCATGAATCAAAAGTCCATGGCAAACTTAGAGCTAAGGAACATCAGTGACTTATTTTTCTTGTAACAATGCAGGAATATTGATGTTCCACCCAATGGCTTGCCTATCAAACCCACAGGTAAACAGATTGCATATGGGGTGGTCTTCACTCCATGCCGAGCAGCACACCATTCGTCTGTGACCCTAGGAAGGAACACACAGAACAAAATTAATGCATTATTCCTGAAGTATAATTAAACACTTGTACATGCTAGTGACATTTCTTAAATGAATAATGTAAAAGCAAAATCTCAACATACATGTAACATACAGATCAGAAATCACTGGACCTCAGGACCTTTTGACCCTGCAGCTCTTCTTAACAGTCCTCATAGCTGCATCCCTGAAACACTTGGGGATGCTACCTACACTATCCCCAAAATAAAACAGTTTAAAGTTGCTGTCCTTTTCACTGGACATGTGGCATACACATCTGTAACCTAGCTACTTTAGGGGGCTCATGGAGGAGATTGATACCAGCCCAGGCAACTTAATACGACACTGTCCAGCTGTCCAGCTGTCTGGCAGTAAAATTTAAAGAGCTGGGAGTGTGACTCAGTGGTAGAGCAAATACTTAGAAGAAGTGAGAACTCCAGGTTCAAAACCCAGTAATGAAGAAAACAAGCTTCCTATACAAGCTCTGTTTTGGTTTCTGTCTTTAGAGCTAATCAGGTGAAAGCAGCTACAAGAGGATGCCAGCACTGTCTAGCTGTGAGGCTAGGACACTAAAATTACACTTATTTGAAGAAGTGTTACAGGTCTAAAATCAGGTTATATGTTATTCATTAATCTTAAAATAAACCTATTTCACATATCGCTATAAGAAAGAATAAATCCAGCTCCCCCCGCAAAAATCTATAATCCCAGCAAACCTGAATGTTTTTCAGATAATTCTACATATAATTTTCGACATAGATCTAGGACCACAAAGATTAACTTAGAACTTCTTACTTTTCTTGAGAAAAAAAAAAACTTTCAGAATAATAAAGTAACACACACTGTCTTCAGTCTCGTCACAAAAGCACACTTTATATAGCAATAGTAACTTTAGGACATACATGAGTAATTCACCACGCTGAATGTCTGATTAAAACTTTGGCGTGAGGCTATTTCCCACTTTCTCTTCTGCTGGACTTAGTATATCTAGTTCTATGTTGTGGTCCTTGATCCAAGGGCACTTGAGCTTTGTGCAGGGTAATAAATATGGATCAATTTGCATTCTTCTACACGCAGACCGCCAGTCAGACCAGCACCATTTATTGAAGATGCTTTTTTTTTACCACTGTATGGTTTTGGCTTCTTTGTCAAAGATTCAAATGTCCATAGATGTGTGGTTTTATTTCTGGATCTTCAATTCAATTGCACTGATCTACCTATCGTCTCTGTACCAATACCATGTGGGGGTTTTTTGTGCTTGAAGTCAGGGATGGTGATTCCCCTAGAGGTTCTTTTTATTGTTAAGAATTGCTTTCAATGTCCTGGGTTTTTTGTTTTTCCACATGAAAGTTGAGAATTGGTCTTTCCAAGTCTGTTAAGACTTGTATTGGAATTCTAATGGGAATTGCATTGAATCTGTAGATTGCTTTTGGTAAGATGGCTGTTTTCTTTTTTCTTTTTCTTTTATTGAATATTTTCTTTATTTACATTTCATGTATTATCCTCTTTCCATGTCTCCCCTCCTGAACACCCTATTCCCATCCCCCCCCCCCCCTGTTTCTATGAGGGGACTCCCCCCCCTCCCCCCCCCCCCCCCCCCCCCCCCCCCCCCTGTTTCTATGAGGGTACTCCCCCACCTACCCACTCCTGCCCTTCCCACCCTGGCATTCCTCTACACTGGGGCATCGACCCCCTCGGGCCCAAGGGCCGCTCCTCCCACTTATGTCCAACAAGGCCTCTGCCACATATGTGGCCAGAGCCATGAGTCCCTCCATGTGTACTCTTTGGTTGGTGGTCCAGTCCCCAGGAGTTCCGGGGGATATAGAAGATGACCATTTTCACTATGTTAATCCTACTGATCCATGAGCACGGGAGATCTTTCCATCTTCTGAGGTCTTCAATTCCCTTCTACAGGGACTTGAAGTTCTTGTCATGCAGGTCTTTCACTTGCTTGGAGTTACACCAAGATATTTTACATTATTTCTGGCAATTGTGAAGGGTGTTGTTTCTCTAAATTTCTTTCTCAGCCCATTTATTATTTGTATAAAGTAAGGCTACTGATTTGTTTGATTTAATTTTATATCCAGCCACTTTGCTGAAGTTGTTTATCAGCTGTAGGAGTTCTCTGGAAGAATTTTGGGAGTCCCTTATGTATACTCTCATATACAAATATCTGGAAATAGTGATAGCTTGACTCCTCCTTTCCAATTTGTATCCCCTTAGTCTCCTTTTGTTGTCTTATTGCTCTAGCTAGAACTTCAAGTATAAGAAGATGTACTTGAATAGATAGGGAGAGTAGGAAGCCTTGTCTTAACCCTGATTTTAGTGGAATTACAAAAGAGCAACCTACAGATTGGGAAAAGGTCCTCACTAACCTGACATCCAATAGAGGGCTAATATCCAAAATATATAAAGAACTCAATAAGTTAAGACTCCAAAAAACCAAATAAACCAATTAAAAAATAGGGTACAGAGCTAAACAGAAATTTCCCAACAGAGGAATCTTGAATGGCTGAGAGGCACTTCAAAATGACCCTGAGATTCTACCTCACACCAGTCAGAACAGCTAAGATCAAAAACTCAAGAAACAGCATACACTGGTGAGGATGTAGAGAAAGGGAACACTGCTCCATTGCTGGTGGGATTGAAAACTGGTACAACCACTCTAGAAATCAATCTGGCAGTTCCTCAGAAAATTGGAAATAGTTCTACCTGAAGACCCAGCCATACCACTCCTGGGCATATACCGAAAAGATGTTCTACCATACCACAAGGTCATGTGGTCCATTATTTTCATAACAGCCTTATTTAACAATAATAGCCATACCCTAAAAGCAACCCAGACATCCCTCAATCAAATAATGGATACAGAAAATATGATTCATTTATACAATGGAATACTATTCAGCTATTAAAAACGAGGACATCATGAATTTTGCAGGCAAATATCCATTTGAAGTAGAAAATGGATATTTTCTATGGAAAATATCATGGAACTAGAAAATATCATCCAGAGTGAGGTAGCCCAGACCTAAAAGGACATGCATGGAATGGTATGTACTCATTAATAAGAGGGTATTAGCTAAAAAAGTACAGAATACTCATCATATACCCTACAGACCCTAAGAAGTTAAAGAAGGAAGGTCCAAGTGATGATGCTTAAATCCCACTTAGAAGGGGGAACAAAATAATCATGGGAGGCAGAAGGAGGGAGGAACCTGGGTGGAAGAGAAGAGGGGTAAGGGTAAGGGGGTACAGGATTAGGTATGGGGGAAGACAGGACAGAAGCCCAAAGCCTGGCCAGGAGAATGAATAGAAATATGTGGTGTGCCCTTCCCCCAGCCTTGAGCAGGGACCTTGTTTACCACAATAGACCAAACAATAGGACTCTGGCCATAGGCATTTCCTGCCCTTGGCGAGGCAGTGCTTGCTTTGGCCTTGGCACTTTTCTGTCTGCCTGTAGCCTGGTACACGAGCTGAGAAGAATAGACTGCCTGCTGAGCTTGCTTTGAGACATCTCCGGCCCGCAATTACCTATGGATTCCTCTCACCTCCAGCAGGATGGTTTCCCTCACCCCCAGCTGGATGAAGCCAGAAGGAAGTCTGGGGGTGGGGGTGGGTTACCCCCTTTAAATTGAAAGCTGAACATTAAAGCATTGAGGCTCGATCAGAAACCTTTGTCCTGGCTTCATCTCTTCCCACACTCCTGTCCCTTCCCAGCCTCTCTTTCAGGTGAACCTGGTCGTCTGTAGATGCTGGCGGCAACAATGTGGCTGCCAGGGGTAGAGGATAGGGGGTGTGGGGAACCCCTAGAAAATCTCAGAGACCTGGATTGTGAGAGGCTCCTAGGACCTTACCCAAAATGCCTAACAGTAGAGAAATAGTACCTGAAGAGATCACTTCCAGTAGTGAAACAGGGCCCCCAGTAGCAGGATAGGGCTACCCACATACCTTCAAAATATTTGACCCAGAACTGTTCCTATCAAAAAGAAATCCAGGGACAAAAACAGAACAGAGACTGAAGAAATGGCAGGCCAGTGACAGCTCAACTTTGGGTTCATCCCATAGGAATGTGAAATGATTTCACTCTGCTTTGATGAGCATCTTCTTACAGTGTGCACTCAAAAAACCAAAAGATCTCATTAACCTAGGCAGCGCATTGCTGTGAGTCGTAACAGCATGGTTGAGACACCACTGCTGGAAGGACTGCCATGCTTGGGAACTTGTGTGCCACTCAGAGAGAAAGGGGTGCCGTGCTGGTAGCTAATACCCCACCATGGGTACTCTGTACACACTGCCTCTCCAAACTCATCCTTAGTACTCAGTGTTTGCAGGACACAGTGGTACAGAGCTGGCTTGTGAACTGTACTCTGAAGTATTATGTGATGAAGTGGGAGTCACATCAACATGGAGGAATCAAAAGAAATGCAGCCAATAGGCAGCAACAGATGAATGCTGTAGAGTACGCAAGCACTTCTCAAAGGATGTGTGTGTGTGCAAACAGACAAGTGAGCTGGAGGGACAGGGCACAGATCCATTAACAGACTGGCTGACTCATCAGACCTTCCAGTGACATTCAGGGAAGATCCAAAGGGAAAAAAAGCAGAATGACTAGTGTCCTGGCTAGTTTTATGTCAACATGACATAAAGCTTGACAAGAGTCATCTGAAAGAAGGAAACCTCAACTGAGAAAAATGTCTCTATAAGATACAGCTAATTGTCTTAATTAGTGATTGATGTGGAGTAGTCCAACGTGTTTTGGGTGGTTTCGTCTCTGGGCTGGTTGTCCTAGGTTCTGTAAGAAACCTGAACTGAACAAATCCTAAGGAGCAAGCCAGGAGGCAGCACCCCTTCATGGCCTCTACATCAGCTTCTGCCCTTAGGTTCCTGTCCTACTTGAGTCCCTGTCCTGACTTCCTTCCATGATGAACAATGATATGGAAGTATAAGCCAAATAAAACCTTTC